TTCCATTTCTGTAAGTTAGGGAAGGAGGTTACTTTTATTTTAAATTCATACATTCAAAATCTAAAACAATGGCAAGTGTGGGTGAGGGAGAGTTGGGAAAGAAATGTACCTTGTATGGCAAATCAACCCAAACAGCAATTCACAGTTGCCCATTACATTCAGTTACAATGTTAAGTAAAAAGGCTCCCAATATATTGCACACAAACCCACCTGTCTGATGCCTTTCACCTGCGGGAATCGAACCCAGAGGTCACCAGTGAGAGTGGGGGCCGGGGCTCCAACCCCGGACTGTGGCGGCAGCACAAGGTGACACGACTAATTTTTAAGAGTTTAAAAGGGCCGAGGCCGGTTTGGCTCAGTGGATAGAGCGTCGGCCTGCAGACTGAAGGGTCCCGGGTTCGATTCCGGTCGGGGGCATGTGCCTGGGTTGCGGGCACGTCCCCGGTGGGAGATGTGCAGGAGGCAGCTGATTGATGTTTCTCTCTCATCGATGTTTCTGACTCTCTATCTCTCTCCCTTCCTCTCTGTAAAAAATCAATAAAATATATTTTAAAAAAAAGAGTTTAAAAGGGTCTTAAGACCAAAAACACTGACAGCTGCTAATACACCGTAACGTATTCATCCATTCTATTGTTGGTGGACCGATGACACTGGCTGGGAAACCTACGACATTGTTTTATAGCTATAACGTAATGTCTTCTGTTAATAAAACTGTTCCTACTTCATAGGGTTGAATTAAATCCATAGCTATAAAAGCTTAATATGCTAAGTGTCCAACCGAACAGTTGACCGACTGGTCGCTGTAACGTGCACTGACCACCAGGGGGCAGATACTCTGACCTGTAGGTTAGCTTGCTGCTGGGGTCTGGCTGATGGGGACTGGGCGAGATGGGGCTGGACACGCCCTGGAGCCGACCTGCGGTCCCACCGACCCCAATCAGCCCCAATCAGGACTGGGTGAGAGCCCTGATGGCCACGATCGCCGGCCAGGTGAAGGGACCCTGCGGGAGGGCCTCTAGTGTATCAGTAACATGCCACACTGGTGTTCCACGGGGTGCCGTCATTTCCAGCTACTCTGCCTCTTAAACAAGTTGAAGAGCCACTAACCTGCCCCCCATCTGATGAGAATGGGGGGCGGGGGCAGGAGAGGGTGAAGGGGATAAATGGTGATGGGAGGAGACTGGACTTGGGTGGAGAACACACCATACAACACAGAGATGACGCTCACAGTCACAGAACTGTACCCCTGAGACCCACACATGTGATTAACCAATGTCACCCCAATACAGTCAATTAAGAGAGAGAGAGAAACTTACCAGCCACCCTGGCTGCTGTACCGGCTGCATTTAGGATGGAAAGTTATTCAGGAAAAAAGAATTAAAATGTGTCCCCACTTCTAGCCACTTGGTTGAACCTCACCAAGTCAGTTTGCCTGCAGTCGGTGAACTACTTCAGCGAACACCTGTGAACGTGTTTCTGGGCGGCTGTAACAGCCCCGAAAACCACTGCGCTGGTCGTGGCCGGACGAGCACAGACCAGCTTCCCGTCCCGGGGAGGGCGGCCTGTCCTAGCCCAGCACGCGGGTCCCTGTGCACTGGCTGCCGTGTGCCATGCCTGCGACTGTCACTCTTCTCATGGGGGGTCCTGTTTCCCAAAGGAAACCTGATGCCAAGTTCACGAAGACGTGGCTGAATGAAGCGGGAGCTACGCAGGTCAGAGCCGGGGAGTCCTGGGCCCTCCCCCTCCCTTCCTCTCCGTCCCTCCTCCTAGTCCCGAGGCAGCGGGAGAACCTGAGACGCTCCCGGCACGGGTTCGAGGCCGATGTGAGGGCACAGGACGCCGGGCCTTCAGAGAACGGTACTCCCTTTGGCCTATCGTGTTTCTATAAGGGATTGAGGAAATGGACCATAATGGAAAATGCTAAAAGGGCCCGGCCCGCGCGGCTCAGTGGGTGAGGGTCGACCTATGAACCAGGAGGTCACAGTTTGATTCCCAGTCGGGGCACAGGGCCAGGTTGCGGGCTCCATCCCCGGTGGGGGGTGTGCAGGAGGCAGCTGGTCCATGGTTCTCTCTCATCGTTGATGTTTCTCTCTCCCTCTCCCTTCCTCTCTGAAATCTGTACAAATATATTTTAAAATACTAAAAGGGAACATACTTTCTGATGTTAACATACAGCTGATTCTCCTTTCATACTAGATTATGGAACAAATTTGCTTATGCAGAAGCTATAACCTTAAAGGCATTTACTGGCTTCATTCAGTGGCTGCACTTCCAATGAGGACATTTATTCTGTGAGTTTTACCAAAATTTAACTCTGAGATGGCAGGAGGTTGCTGAGAACTTCAAAGCAGAAAAACGTGTGTGAATTGAAACGTGAATTAAAAACACAGCTTTTCTTAGTTTCCATCTCTCCCATCACTATACAAAACTCTAGAAAAGAGAAAAGAACTTTCTACTTTCTTCCTCCCCATCCGACAGACCCAGCCAACACCAGACGACCAGCAGGCGGGAAAGACAAGAATGCATTTTCCTGCATATTAATAACTACTTCCCAACACGTGCGAGTTCACTACACGTCGACCCATCCCCAACCCACTCCCAGTATCACCGTCCACCGTCTAGAGCAGCCGTGGGCAAACTACGGCCCGTTTGAAATGAATAAAACTAAAAAAAAAAAAAAAAAAAAAGACCGTACCCTTTTATGTAATGATGTTTACTTTGAATTTATATTAGTTCACACAAACACTCCATCCATGCTTTTGTTCCGGCCCTCCGGTCCAGTTAAGAACCCATTGTGGCCCTCGAGTCAAAAAGTTTGCCACGGCTGGTCTAGAGACACAGCTCGTCAGCGCCAGTACCTGTCTGACTCTCCCCGACGTCCAAGCCCAGCGCTCGCCCTGGGGTCTCGGGCTGGCACGCCACGAGGCCGTCGTCTTCACTCTCCACGTCTTCCTCCTCCGTCGTCTTCTTCACCTCTGGGCCTGTGGGACAGGAGACACGTGAGTGATCTACGCAGAAGTCAGAAATGACACTAAACACAGCCTCGAGGGCTCTGAACACGTCCTTCGGGGGAAGGAATCAGGGCCTCAGCCTCGGACACCAGGGGCCGTGGGGTCGCCTGTGATTCCAGAGGTTTAAGCGGCTCAGAGAAACACGCGAGCTTCCCAAGGCCCACGGGACCCGCCCCGGGACCGTCAGCAACAGCAATGGCAGCACGAGAGCTGAGCCCCGGGCCGCAGGGACAGGCGGGCCACAGGGACACGCGGGCCACAGGGACAGGCGGGCCACAGGGACACGCGGGCCGCAGGGACAGGCGGGCCACAGGGACACGCGGGCCACAGGGACAGGCGGGCCACAGGGACACGCGGGCCGCAGGGACAGGCGGGCCACAGGGACACGCGGGCCGCAGGGACAGAAATCAGCAGAACACATGGAGGAGACCGCCCTCCTCACAGAGGGTCCCCAGGGACAAAGGCAGGAGGACGGGGTCCGACCCGCCAGCAGGAAAACGCCTGCCAGCTGTCCTCAGTGCTGCTGACCAGACACCCCGTGAGCGCTCACACCGAGAGGGGTGTTTGAGGGGGACGGACACCCCATCCCCACAGCGTCCCTCCCGCGGGACTCGTGAGATAAGGCAACGACGGTGGCGTTGACGGTAAGTTTCACGCCCGCTGGCTCGGCCACAGGACCCGGAACCTGGCCCAGCTCTGTTCTGGCTGCTCCTGTGGCGGCCTGTCCGGGGGGAATCCTCACTCCGAGCCGACGCTCAGGAAGCAGACAGGCCCGACAGTGAGAGCCGCCTCCTCCAGCTCAGGTCCTAGCGGGAGGCGGACCCGCCAGGGCACAGGGAGCTCCTGCCTGGGCCCGGCCTGCCCTGCGGGTTTGGGACTTGCCAGACTCCAGAATGGTGAGCCAGGTCCTTAAAATAAACCACTCTCCCCCTCTCTCCCTCTCCCTCTCCCCCCCACCTCTTTCTCCTTCTCTCGCTCTTGTTTTTAAACACACACACGCACACACGCGCGCACACGCACACTCACACTCATGCACACACACACATACACACACGAGCACACATGCACACACTCACACACACTCACATTGACACACGTGTGCACACACACACACACACACACCCCTCCTATCGGTTCTGTCTCCAGAGAACCTTGTCTAAAGCAGGGACTCTGCAGTGCTGACCTCTGGCCAGGGGTCAAGGTAAAGATCACCAACAATAAGCACGCTGATGCCATGAGCCCCTCGATACAACGTGCTGTGAAGGACGCCGTGTCGCTGCTGTGGCACGACTGCCCGAGTGCCCAATCCTACTCCAATCCGGAAAATAACAAACAAACCCAAGTTGAGGAACGTTCTAGAAAACAGGCAATCGCGTCTCTTCAAAAGTGTCAAGTCATCAAAAGTCACAAAGTCAAAGGAAGACGGAGGCAGCGTTGAGAGGCCAGGAGAGAGGAGGAAACAGGCACCAGGTCCTGTCGGGCCGAAGAGCCGGAAGGACATTCGTGTCAGAACCAGTGAACCCGGAGCCAGCTCCTTAGCGGACCCTCGGCCGTAGCTTCTGGGTCCGGACAACGACACGAGGTCGCGTCTGAGGTTGTGGGGGGAACAGGGTGAGAGGGGCATGCTCTTTGCGTCTTTTCTGCAATTTTCCTGTGCGTCTAAAATTAGCTCAAAATTTTAAAAAATTGTTAACAGTTGTATACAATTATTTCAAAATTTAATGCTTCTAAAGTAGAAAAAAACAATATGAAATAATAAATTTCTCCTGAAGATTAACATTGAAATCAAAACACACTCCTTGTCACGGGGGAGCTGGGCAGGAAAGCCCTCCTGACCCCCCGCCTGGCCCAGCCCTCAGGACCCACCCCCCCCCAACGTGATCTACAAACAGTTCCTGATCAAACATCCCAAACAAAATGCCTGAAAACCATGAAGTACACAGAACACAGCAACAGCTTTAACATCGGAAGAGTGGCCGACTCCATTATGAATAAGATGGAAAAGGGGAAATACCGTAAGATCAATAATTTCTTAAGTTTCCTGAGGTGAGTGACCCCACAATTCTAGAGCCCCACATTGTAACGGGCGGCACCCCTTTCCTGCACCGCCCCCCCACCTCTAGGATGGGGGCTGGCACAGTCCGTTTTGTTTTTAGATGACTTTTCCCTTCGATGCCCTGAATGCTGTGCATTCGTTTACGGAGCAGAAAGCATTAAGGAAAGTGCTTCAGAGAAGATCGTCAGCGGTCAGAATGGCCTCACACTATTCATTTCTCTGCTGAAAGGAGCAGTAAAAGCATTTGCTTCTGTAGGAAAACAGTGAAATGCCCTGGAAAAAGGCACACTGACTGTCGATGTACACTGACTTTCCCAAGGGAGGCCTAAGTAACTCGTTCTCTGTACTGACCTTCTAAAACATTGGTCATAAACTAATGTGTGTGTTTTTTATCCCTGTTTTTCCAAACTGAAAACCATTCTATCAGTGATAACAATAAAACTCTATTTGGAAGTAAGAGTCGGGTTAGATCGTTACTGTCCTCTCGAGAAGGTCTTTGTGGAAAGTGAAGCAAAGATTAGCAGAGAGAGTAGGAAACGTGAGGAATGCCCACGATGTCACAGACTTAATGACCCAATAAAAGGAAAACAGCAATAGAGCAGAATCTGAACGTTCCAATGTCCTGAAATCAGAGAGCGGTCATAGCTGCACAACCATGAAATATACTAAAACCACTCAATTACACAGTTTTAAAGGGTGAATAATTATGGTAAGTGAATTACAACTGAATTTTTTAAATCAATTTTCAAAGTCAATTTTTACATCCTTACTATCCGTCAGTATATTTTTCAAAGTTTTTTTTCCATAAGCATTTCTATAAACATAATGTCTAGCGTATAGTCTAATAACTCATGAAGAATGTTACATGGTACATATTACCTTAACAATAATCGAAGAAGAGATTTTTTTTGATCCATAAATTTTATTTAACCATAAAATTATATTTCTATAAGACTATATTAAACCAAAGAACTATAATTACATGAGTAAATGAACTTTACAGAAAACTTATATTATATGTAGACCATAGAACAGAATACAGATTGTAATTAAAAACTTCAAATAGAATATCCATGTGAAAATGTAATTACTGTAAGGAAAATGGCACTGATAATATTTTTCCATCCTACCTGGTTCTGTCATCTGAGATTTTTGTATTAGGACATCTCTTATTTTCTCCACCCACAGGTAAAGAATACTTTCACCAATATTCTGTCTAAACAAAATTCAGGGGGGAAAATGTTATTTAAAAATATTTCCTTCTCAAATTCAAAAAAATACAGACATCTTTACAATCTAAGAAATTACACGCATCTAGCCTTGCCTTTTAAAGAGGAATTTATAAAGACATGAGATTTAGTAACATTTATGAATGAATATTTAATACAGTTTATACCAACATTAAAAATTCCCACTGGCTCCAAAATTAACATTTCTTAGTTAAAACAAGCAGAAGAGAAAGAAAACGTATGAAGAGAAAGAAAACGTATGAACTTGCACTGCATGAGTCAGACAAAAGACATGCGATTTAATTTCTCAGTATTAATGTCCGATCAC